AACCACCCCCAATCCCCTACCCTGCACTGCTTTGGGGAAGAACTCAGAAAAGACTCAGTGACACATTTTAAAAATATATATATTTGTTTATTTTTTTGGCTGTGTTGGGTCTTAGTTGTGGCACCCTGGGTCTTTAGTTGCTGCATCTGAACTCTTAGTTGACGCATGTGGGATTTAGTTCCCTGACCAGGGATTGAACACGGTCCCCCTGCATTGGGAGCATGGCGTCTTAGCCACTGGACCACCAGGACAGGTTTTGAAAGGTCTTTCATGGGTTGAATTGCCCCCCCAAAAGGCATGTTGAAATCCTAACCCCCAGGATCTCAGAATGTGACCTTCTTTGAAGGTAGGGTCTTTCGAGAGGCGATCAAGTTAATATGTGGTCATCATCGTGGGCCCTGATCCAGAAGGACTCGTGTCCTTATAAAAAGCGGAGGTTTGGACACAGAGTCAGATGTGCACAGAGGGGAAATGATGTGAAGGGATACAGCGAGACAGGCATACACGTGGAGAGGGGCAGCCCTTCCTCTGAGAGGCACACACAGAGCAGGTACGGAGAACCCAGGCCCCTGTGAATCAGCCTGCCTGTGGGCGCTCGGGGTTTCCCTGACCAGGAAGCAAACCCGAGGGCCCAGGCAGTGAAAGTGCTGAGTCCTAAACACTGGACCACCTGGCAATTCCCTGATGCCTTGATGCCTGGCTTATTTATTTATTTGGCTATGTAGCTCAGTTGGTAAAGAATTTGCCTGCAGTGCAGGAGACCCAGGTTCAATTTATGAATGGGGAAGATCCCCTGGAGAAGGAAATAGCAACCCACTCCAATATTCTTGCCTAGAGACTCCCATGGACAGAAGAGCCTGATGGGCTACAGGGGTATACATGGGCTATAGTCCATGGGGTTGCAAGGGTCGGACACGACTTAACTACTAACCCACACATGCCAGGTCTTAGTTGTGGCATGTGGAATCTAGTTCCCCGACCAGGGATCGAACCCAAGCCCCCTGCACTGGAAGCACGGACGGAGTCTTAATCACTGGACTGCCAGGGAATTCCCTGATGTCTGGCTTTTTAAGGCTCTAATCTGCACTGGGCATGGAGCAGGGTACTCAAAGTGGCTGCAAAGGGAGAAATCCAGGAAGTGGGTGCTTTACACACATCACATCTTAAATTGTAAATGTTTACAGGTTGCATCTTCATGTAACCAAAAGGGTTTAAAAGTAACTTAATACATTATAATGTTCTTCTTTGGTCATGAAAGCAGATGAGAGGAATGTTTTCAGATTTTAAGAAATTAGCAAAAAAAAGGAAAAAAAAAGGCAAAAAATCCAAGCCTTTTGAAAAAGCACATTTAAGGTTTATACTTTGGTTTTTCTGTGGGTCTGGGGCCCTGACTCCTCCATGGTCAGTTGCCCTCCTTCTGTCTCTGCACATCACTTTGAAACCTTTGTCTTGGACACATCCCTTTCTTTTTAAAAAATATTTATTTAGCTGCACTGTGTCTGACTTTATTGACATGGAGGAAAGAGAAAGCTCACATATATTTATTTGTAAGTCAGAACTGGTTTTAGTTTTGGAGCCCCTGGAGTCTCTCCTGAGAGGCCCTGGAGCTCCACCACTGCAGACTGCTTCTGGGGACTCGCTCTGCTCCGTCTCTTGGTGCTCCCAGGGACTGGCTGCTTGGTGTGGGCCGGGCGGTGAGTGGTTCACACGGTTAACCCAGCAGAGCTCGCCATGAGGCTTCACTTGCCAGAGAGAGGAGGGGGTTCATGTGTGTGCCACCAAATCAGATCCCCTGCCCTCGGCCCACCCCTACCTCCTGTCCAGGGTCCCTCCAACAGGAAAGGACCCTCCAGTGGCCTGCCTCGAGCCCTGGCCCCTCTCCCTGACACCCACCCCAAGGCTCTTTGAGCCGCAGTTTCTTCTAGAACTCAACCAAATCCTTCAACTTTTAAAAAATTGATTTATTTTGGCTGTGCGGCATGTGGGATTTTAGTTCCCTGACCAGGAGTGGAATCCATGCCCCTTGCCTTGTAAGCGCAGAATCTTAACCATTGGACCATGAGGGAAGTCCCCAAATCTTTCAACTTTGAGAAAACCAATGGGACAGAAGCTGGTCCTTGGAACAAAGGCAAAGGTGAATTTTGAGGTTCCAGAGTCTACAGGAAGGCCAAAGTAACCAGAAAGCTCCTAAACAGAAAGGGTGTTGGGCCATGGACCCATGCCCACACAGGACCCCACACTCAGAGAGCCCCCCTATGCTCAGTTTAATGTTCTGAGGTCAGTGACTTGAAGTTCTTGGTACTTTTCTGAACCAGAGGCTCTGCAAATTCTGTCCCATTTGGTGGAAGTTAGGAGCCCTTGAGGTCTCAGAGGGACACTGTTCCTGGAGGTCCAGGTGCAGAGGGGCTGGCTGTGTGCTCGCCATGTGGGAATTCCCTCCCTCAACTGTCTAGGGTGACTTGAAAGATCCCCAGGAGAGCTGGGGGTTGGGTCCAGGCCCCGGCATGCGCCCATGGGTACCTGAGCCCCTTCCCACCCCCGTGTGGTTACACAGGCAGAATGTCCTGCCTGCGGGAGGCCTTGGGTCCCCTCTGCATCCCCAACTTCCCATCCCAGCTGAACCCCAAGACGGACAACTCAGATGCACAGAGGTAACGGGTGGTCTAAACCCAGGATGCTGTTATCAAACTGGTGGGGAAAAAAGGTCACCAGCACTGAATGGTGTCTGTTTTCCCAATCGGCTGAGCTTCAGGGGGTCACCTTTAAAGGAGCATGGGGACAACACCAACTTCCTCACGGTTCCATGAAGGACTCTAAGGTGAACAGCATGCTAACAAATAATAGGTAGCATGTCCACCACCACCTCCTACCTCCCTGAGGTGCCCCCCTCGCCCCAGCACTCGGCACCACCTACACACGGGATGGTGGGGGTCTTCGGTCTGTTCTTTTGGAGCCTTGGGTGGGGAAAGCAAGGTGTTCACTGGGGAGATGTGCTCCGGGGACGGCTTGAATTCTGCTGCGGGACTTCTGTGTGGCTTCCCAGAGCTCAGGGCTCACAGCTCCACACCACCCCGACCTGTCCTGCTCTGAGTGGGCTCCAGGCTGGGGCAGAGGGCAAGGGGCCAGTGTTGCTGCCCCACTGCCTCCCACTCTGCAGTGAAAAACACCCTCAGGGCACAACTTGGTCCTTCCTATCACTAGACTCCAGGACATTAGTCTCCAATGGATAGACTGTAATCACTAGGTTCTCCAGGACAACACTGTTGTCCATGGTTTTCTCTCTTCTCTTCTGAAAATCCTTTCCAAATAAGCTAGGAAAGCATGGAGGTGAAACAAACGAGACACAGGGACGAAGGGATGCAGGCATTAGGCCCTCAGAGCCTTAACCTTGAACAGAACCGTGAAGACAGCCCCCACCCACCGGCCCTGGGCTGGAGCCCTCCCCACTTCGAACTTGGTCCCAGCCTCTCAGCTCTGAATTCTGGGGTCAGGGGAGGCGCTAGAGATCGTCCCGGGCATGACGTGGAGCTGGGGGCAGAGGGGCTTTGTTACAGCACACCCCCACTCACGGTGCCTCTCTGGCTTCTATGTGGGCATCAGAACTGCCGAAGCAGAGTCTGCCCCCCCCCACTCCTTTGGTTGCACCTCTAGGCATGTGGGATCTTAGTTCCCCCACCAGGGATCAAACCCATGGCCCCTGCAGTGAATTTGCAGCGTCCTAACCGCTGACCAGCACAGTGCCTGGAAAGTCCTCGAACCTGCTTTACAAGACCCCGTGGGGAAGGGGGTGCACACCGAGGTCTGCAATTGGCCAGGAAAGACACCCAGACCCCTCCTCTTTGGGGCAGAGTGATACTCCAGGAGCTGCCTGGAAACCCCAAGACATCCCAGGGATCCCCCTAGAGTCACCACCAGCCAGAGCCCAGCCTCCTTCCCCAGGTGGTGCTGACCTGCCCCTACCGGGGAGGGACTCGGGCTGGGTGTTCTGAGGGAGCTCAATGCAGAACCTTAGAACACACACACACACACACACACTCACAAAAGGAAACCCAGTGACTTCAGAAGAGGCCCCGTGAGTGCCTGATGGGGCTGGGTGTTCTGAGGGAGCTCAATGCAGAACCATAGGACACACACACACACTCACAAAAGGAAACCCAGTGACTTCAGAAGAGGCCCCGTGAGTGCCTGATGGGGCTGGGTGTTCTGAGGGAGCTCGATGCAGAACCGTAGGACACACACACACACTCACAAAAGGAACCCCAGTGACTTCGGAAGAGGCCCCGTGAGTGCCTGATGGCGAAGTGCGCCAGGCTTTTAGCTGAGCCCACTGGCCGCTGGGGAGCTGGGGGTGGGGGCTGCTCTCTCTGCCCACCCCAGCCTCACCCCTGGATTCAGAGCGGCTGTGGTGACTGCGGTACCTACTTGATTTGTTTTCCTTTCCAGGAGGATCCTATGGACCCCATTTCACAGCTGGGGATGCTGAGGCCGGGGGAGCAGAGTCAGGGACTTGCCTACGGAGGACAGCCTGGAGTCAGGATGTGAACCTGAGCCCGACACACCTTCCTGCCTCTGGGGGAGTCGGAATTCACCTGCCCTCCCCGGAGCGGATCAGAGTCAGAAGTCATTCGGAATGGCCAGAGGCTCAGATGGACAGGCAATACTCAGGGACAAGACAGGGGGCCCGTGAACCTTTGAGCCTGGAGAAGAGAGAGGTCTCCAGGTCTCCAAGGGGAGGGAGCTGACTCATGTGTGTGGGGGGGCAGGGGGGTGGCATCTAGGCAGAGGGTGGTGTGTGGCAGGGGAGCTGGGCACAGGACACATCCTAGAGTCATCCCTTGGGCTGGCTGTCCTGAGGGCTCCCTGCCTCCCCGAGCACAGAGCCTGGTGAAGGGCAGCCTCCTCTGACCTAGGAAGCAGGGAGTCACCGGCAGCCATCGCTGGCGCTTCACTCGGCGATGGCTGCTTTACAAGGCACACACCGTCACCCCCACACCACCACGTCTCCACGATCCCACTTCATTTATTACCAAAATATCACAGAATTCCAGTCATAGTTAACATACAGAGATTAACACAAACCTGATACCTGCGGGAAGGACTATGTATTCGGACAATCGCGTTGTTTTGGAATCGTAAGGCCCCACACCGTGAGCACTCCGTACTCCAAAAATACACTCTGAGAGCTTTGGAAACTGAATTAAAATGTCTACACAGCTATGAACAATTGTTTAATAAAACTTTTTCATGTTTTCATTACATGTAAATATATCAATTTGGCATCTCTATAAAAACTCTGAAAATGGTGCAAAAGTTTCATTCTCTTTGAGAAAGCCATTGACAAAAAATATTCACTTCACTAAAATTTTGAAAAATGGTCTTCTTTCAAAGCTTTATTAATCTGAAGTCTTCTGGATTATCAAAATCTAGGTTTGCTTTTTCCTCCTAAAACACTAAAGAACATTTATTCACAAGGATAAAAAGGCAAACTGGGGGGGATGGAAAACTGAGGAGGACTTTTTTCCCTGAAAATCAAAAAAAAGAAAGAAAAAAAGAAAAAAGAAAAAAAAAAGCTAGTTACATAAGCAATCTCCAAAGAACACAATGGGATTCATTTTATTGTTGGCTTTTGGACAGCAGTGTCACACTTTATTGAAAACAAACCCATGTAAAAACAAAGTTAAAATGAAAAATGGTACCTGAAAAATAAATTACTTTATATAAAACAAACCAATAACTTAAAACATACTAATATACAAAAGGTCTACCCATCTACTGTACAACGTGGGAACCACTTGGGAAAGTGCCCCCCACCGGCCCAGAGCAAGTCACTATAAATGGAACATTACACAGTAAAGACATGGCCCCGACCAACGGACAAGCCTTCTCTCCTGGCAGAAGTGAAACACAGTCCTCCCTGGTCGCTGCGGACCACCGGTCAGCCTAACTTCGGTCCTCACGGGGACTTACGAGGAGTTAAGTTATTTAACGACCAAGCAGAAAACTGAACTCTTGTCATCAAAAGGTTGTGGAAAAATACAATCGTTAATAACTCAGAGGAGAAGTCAAAAGGCGTGGAAATGTGAACCCTTGCTGGGGGTCCTACGGCCGTTGCAAGAAAGCGTCAGTTCCCGCTGCCACTCAGCTGAGGGCTCTCGGGACTCAGGGTGAGGGCCAGGCCTGGGAATCTGATGAGCAGCAGGTGTTTCCTGAGGAGCTGCCTCAGGTCCCAGGAGGTACTGTGGGTCCTGGGAAGACAGGAGGGATTTCAGATGGAGGGCTGGGGTGAGGGTCGTGGGGTGGGAAGAGGGGCCCTTGGTGGCTTGGTCTCATTCTCTGTGACCCAGCCCAGGATGGCTGTGGAAAGCACAGGGAAGTTGGGTCAGGCAGGGATGGATGTCAAATGCAACAGCCAGGGGAACATGAACTCTGATTTTCAAGGCCAACGGCAGACTGGGGTCAGTCCACAGCCCTAGTCTGGAGGTCAACCAGGGTAAGTTATTGCCAATGGCTGTCTTGGGCTTCTCATGTCTGTCTGATCCAGCAGGGCTTCCCCACCACAGCTGCCAGCTCACAAGGACCGGCTCCCTACAGCAGCGAGGTTCAGAGCCTGGAAGGTGGGTTTACAGCACTAACACCAAGCGCAGACTCTCAGAGGTTAAGGCAGCTGCCCTTGGCGAGGGAAAGACTCACCTTGGGGGAACAAGGAAGGTGCCGCCGGCTGGGAAAGCCCAGCCTTTGGCTATTCTGGCAAGAGGGGGGCGGTGGGGGAGGGTGTTGCAGTCACGGGATGTGTGACCAGAGGCACAGCCAGCGCAGAAAACCACAGCCTGGCATATTACATTGAAAAGCTCAGGAAAGGCAGAGCTGAGGGGTAGTGATTACTCGACTGGAACCAGGGGCGCAGAGGTGCAGCTGCTGAGTGGACAACTAGGAGGGCCAGTCACACAGGCCAAGAGAGAATTCAGTCAGAGTCTCTTTGGTATTTATGTGCCAAACCGAAGTTTCCATAAATTAACATCATCTATCCTCAACTCTTTTTCATCAAAATTCTCAAAGAAAAGGAGAGCATTCATTTCACAAGATACAAATATGACTCATCTAGGTTAAAAAAATTTTTTTTAAAAACATGGTTTCTTTCGGATTGTGACTTGAAAAAAAAAAAAATGCGGTCTTCCTTTTGCAAACAAGCTTAGAGATGTAATGAACTTTTCGGACACGGGGCCAGCATCTGGGACTTCCGTGGCAGTGACGATTACTTTCTGGAAGTAGAACGTGTCAACGGCAGTATTCTGCATACTCGCAAATTAAAACTCCCAAAGAAACACATGAGGATTTTTAGCCAGAAGGCTGTTTAGAGTGGGGACCACGTAAAATGATAAATTTACTGAGATACTGTGGGCAACTCCCAGAAGTCCATATGTGCTTCATGTTTCCATCTCATGTGTGCCACCATCAGGAAAACCAATGTGATCCCAATAAAACAGAGGGGACGAGGGGATGGGCTACGGTGCTGGCTGTGAGCCTGTCACTCCGCAGTGTAGGCCTCTGACAGAATTCTCATAGGAAACTGCATGCCAGCATGGGCTGGCAGGAATGTGTGTCGGCGAGGAGACCTAAGGGTCACTCTGAGGACGGGGAACCTCACCTTCTCTGAGAAGATGTTAGCCCGAGGCTGGCACGACTTGCATGGTGTATTTTTCTAGGAGAGCATCCTGGGCCTGGGGTGCGGAGTGCTCTGGGGTACACATAGCGGGGACCCTCTCTGTGTCAAATCCAGGCAAATGGGCCTTGGATCCAGGAGGCACGTAAGCTGGCTCAGACTTAGAATCTAGAAGATTCTACGGGAGGGAGGAGGCCCTCCGTGGCACTTGGCCAACTTGTGAGACAAGGCCTCAAGGGATGAACTTGGTCCTCTGTGGGGTAAGAAGAGGGCCATGTGGTAAACTGGGGAGGCTCAGGTAAGTGGCTGGCAGCCCCTCAGTAAAGCATGAGGGAAGGGATGGGGGGACAGGCAGCCTCAAATGGTCGAGGGCGGGGGGGGGGGCGGTTTCAGAACACTGACCCACTGCGGAAGGCTGTGCCTACAGCCCAATGACTTCCACTTAAATAAACAAATGAATAAATAAATAAATAATGCCGCGATTTCATGATATCGATAACTTTAACAGCCTATCGTTCACATGCTTTATTAGTCTCTCGTGTCAAGGTTAAAAACCGCTGGTACTAAGTTATGGTGGTTTTGATTCTCTCATACACTGATTATTTATAAAAAAAATCACATCATGCTCCTGAGGAGTTGCCTGGAGACTGGGGCCCTGCCTGTTTACCTCTCAGGCCCTCTCTTGGACTCTCCCTGCCCACTCCCCGTTTGGAAAAAAACACCACCTGTGAGGGCACAATCTTAACATCACAGATCCGTAAATGCTTTGTCTTGAGGCAAGTATATTTGTTGCTTAAGATTTTACGAATCCTCCCTGAATGCTGGGCTGTCTGTACCTTACCTAGCCAAAAAGAAAGAAAAGGTAAAATAAAAAACAAAACAAAATTCGAGCAAAACAAAATCAAATTTAATGGTCTTAAATGCAAAAGTAAAAACAAACAAAAAACACAAAAAAGCAAAAGAAAATTAACAGAACAACCCAAAACGTCAAGGCAGTTATGAAGAGAACTTTGAGGGTTAATCTTTAAAACTACAAATCAAAGGGTGTTTTTTTTTGTTGTTGTTTGTTTTTTGTTAATAGGTAACTGTCAGGAAGTAAGTACTTTTCTGTTGAGTGTTCATAGGAGAGCAAAGTTTCAAAACAAAACCTGACTAAAATAGAAAAAAGCCTAGCGCTCACGAGAAGGGATGCGAGAAATACAATGCTCAAATGTTTCTGTGTCGTTAAAAAATAGAGCTATCTGACGCATTGGAGCTGTGGTCAGTGCGCTCGGAAACTGGAGCGAAGACAGGGTCGACAGAATCCGCTGTTGTGGGGGCACTGCGCATGCAACGTGTGGACAGGAATTCGGGGTGTCGGAGGAGCAAGGCATCTTGAGGCGTGCCTGCAGCTGAGATCTGACTCTGGAATATACTGGAGTTCCCCTGAAACTCTTTGGTCCGTTCCCATTGGCGCCTGGGCGTAGGAGACCCCTTGTGTCCTCCGCAGGGCCTGGCCCGGCCCGGCGTGCGGTCCCCCTCCCGCTGGTGGCCCACGGCAGACTGGCCCGCTGCCACAGCCAGGGCCCCTCGGCTGGGTGAGCAGCAGGTGGCAATGGGACCTGCTTGGGAAAGCAATTTCCTGTCAACCGAAGCAGAAATCGCTTAAAATGTGGAAGCGGTTGAGAAAAACACGCACTCAGCATCTGTCTAACATCTTTAGGAACTAAAACTAAAACATCATTTCTGTTTGCTTGTTGGTTTCTATCCAGTTTGTGGAGACATTGAATGAAACGCGTGTTAGACAGTCTCGGAAGTTAAAGCATGCTTCAGTTTCACCACCATCCCGAGGGACTGGTTAGTCAATGCAGTCTATTTAGATTTCTGTTTAATATATATTTTAAAGGAAATAACTTAAGAAACTTAAAATTGGTCTAACATTGTGGGATTTCAAACATTTGAACATGTCGGCTGCATCCCAAGAGTATAAAAACCTTTTCACTTCTCATTTAGACTAAGACAAACACTTGTGAAAATTGGCGCAAAATGAGTTGTACACTAACAAAAAAGTTTCAACTTCTTCACTCTTAATTATCTATTCCGTACAAAAAAAAAAAAAAAAGCGTAAGCGAGTTATTTGTGGGACTTGTTGGTTTTGAAGGAAACCTGTAAGATTTTGTCCCCCAGGCGGTAGCCATTCAGACTTGCTATGGCCATGGCGGCTTCTTCATAGTTTGTCATGGTCACAAAGCCAAAGCCTTTGCACTTGTTGGTGTTGAAGTCGCGAATCACTTTCACATTGGTAACGGCGCCAAACGGGCCGAACATCTGCCAGAGGATCCCCTCATCTGCATCCTGGCCCAGGTTGTAGATGAAGATGCACCAGCCCGAAGAAGCGTTGCCCGGGACATTGACACCAGAAAGCCCACTCATGTGATCTACACCCATGGGGGAGAACCTAGCAAACAGAGAGCACAGCGTTCAGATCAGGGTCAGGGTGGGCCCGCGCATGGACACGTGGCCCATGGGGGCGCTTGGGCTGGCACCCCCCCACCTCGGGCACCATCAGAGTTTTTCACTGAGCGGAAGTCAATATAGTGTCAGAGGGAGGGCACAGGCTCCCTGCTCCATAGGGAATGGGCTCTGAGGAGAGACACTGGCTGTCCAGAGGGGGTCAGAGCCTCAACCTGCTTCCCCCGTTGAGGGGGCCTGTAGTGGCCTCTGACCAGCCACTCCCTCCACCCCTCTCACTGTGGGGTGGGGGAAGAGGGGGGGTCCTGTTTAGTCACACCTGTACTTCCCACATTTTAAATGATAGGAGCTTCTCCACATCCTCCTAGGTGCTGTTACACTCCCAGCTCCCCCTGGGGAAACCCTTCCTTATCCTATATGTCTGTGTATATATGTGTATTTGCCAGGGGTGGGGGAGGGCTGAATCTTCTTTTCTTTCTCTGAATTTTGTACCCCCCACCTCGTCAGGACCCTCCCTCTCCGAGGGTTCACAGCCAAGCAGTGTCTGCATACAGTACACACCCATGAAAGGCCACTGCAGCAGGGCACAGCTCTGGACAACCTTCCATTGCTGGCTCATAACACCCCAGAAGGGCCAGGGCTACGGACTGCAAGTCCACCAAGCCTGCCAAAACTGTGGGGCCACCCAGTTTCTAAAAAACATTTTTGGCTGCACCCCATAACATGTGGGACTTTGGTCCCCTGATAGAGAATCGAATCCATTGCCCCTGCCTTGGGAAGGCAGTCTTAGCCACTGGATTTCCAGGCAAGTCCCTGCGGCACCCTTTCTAAAGAAACCTTTTAGTCACATAAACGTAAGCCTACAAATTATGGCCATCGCAGTTAACAATGAAGGAAGATGACAAAATTGCTCCTGAAGCCACGTGGCCCTCGAGATGTTTCACAAACACAAAAGTTAACTGTCAGAGGACCAGTTTAAGAACACTTGAGCATGACACAGCATCTCTGAAGCCCCACAATGCAACTGGAGAAATACTACCTGCTCCAAAACACAATCAGGTGTGAGGTGTCGGTCTGACTCAGGGGTGCGCGGGGTGCCTTCGAGTGCCACTGAACAGATTCACTCCCTTGGCAGACTCTGGAGAAAAGTGACCAGCCTCCTGGGGTGCAACCCACTGACAGAACAGTGACCACTGATGAAGAATCAAGGCATGCTGTAGGCCGTAATTTTGAATTTGCGGGAATGACGTTAAACAGCCGTACTGAATGTCTGAGTTGGTTAAACGACTTGTTAGTGGTGAGACCACAGGATCACTGAAACAGGGGTGGGTAAGGGCCCCCAAGAGCCTGTGTGAGCTGCTTTTCAGTGAGAACTGGAAAGAGGCTGACTTTTAAATGAACCTCGTTTCCTCTACCTTTTGTAGGATGTGGACCCAAGTTATGACAGTGGTTCACTAAACCTTGACGTGTTCATGAAACTGAAAGTGACCCGAGGCTGTACAGTAAGAGACCGCTGTCTCGGTGACAGTGTAGTTCACTCTCATTCACTCCTGAGAGTCTCCTGCTACTGACAGCGGACTTCATCTCAACTCCCATGAACTGCCCCCATTCTTACCTCTGATGTACAGAGGTAAACGGGCCCATCCTATCCTAGATCTGGGGCCCTTCTGCAAACTCTCTCCTCTTCTGGGTCTTCCTCCCTCTTATTCTTACCTTCCCTCTTTGCCCTTTCCTTCTGTCTGTCCCTGGAGGTCATGGTCACTCTCCTGGCTGGCCCCTCCTGCACTCGCATCTCCCTTTCTCTTCTCCCCTGAGCTCTCTGGTTTTCCAGAGTTCACAGGTAACTCCCTGAACTTGGCCATCTATCTACACCCTCCACCAGATCAGCAGTGAGGCTGATTGTGCTATCTGACTTTCAAACTGGATCAAGCTCACTTCTGTCCAAACACACTTCCCCAGCTTTGCCTTTAAACCTGAAAAGCCAACGAAGGCAGGCCAGCTCGTGGGCCTCTCTGCTGCTCATGAGGTGTTAACACAGCTGATTTCAGAATCCAAGTCACCAGCTCTACTCGTTTCTGCTCTACTACATACTGGCGACTAGAACTGTTTTATGTGGAAAGGCTAAGGAAGGCAGGAAAACAGTTCACCTCTAGGACAGGGCTTTTAAAAAGCAGAATTAGTAATATTTAGACACCAAATGACTCCACAAGGAGGTGGACAAGAAAGGTTCGCCCTCGGGCTGCTCATCGAAAGTCTAAAACCTGTTAACCTGCGGAAGGAGCCCAGCCCTCCACTGAGCTCAGGCTACACCGTCCCCAGACACTGGAGGCTCTTCCATATTGTGGTCCCCTCGCCCGTCCTGAGGAACTGCAGGCTGCAGCGCCAGGCGCTGGGAGCTAGCTGCAGCTGTGCCAACTTATTTACTCCCGTTAGACATACTCAGATGGAAACACACGGCTCCACACAGATAACCCTCTGAGGCGGGCAGGGGACACAGAGACAGGACATGATCAGCCCAGTGTGCAGCGGTTCCCGCAGCCCGGGAGTGCCTGCCCAGCAGGCTTCGAGCAGCTGGATGCGGCACGTGTGGCCAAGGTGGGAAGAGCGCACCCTCCTGACCCACCTGAATCTCTGCGCCTGGTGGTGGACGGGGCCTCCGAACCGTCTAGCTGGTGAGTGGTACAGCTGGGAGAGCAGTGCCACGTTTTTGTTCTGGTTGGGATTGGCTGCGAACTTCACTGTAATGGGCTCAGAGGAACCTGGGGGTTTATGACCATTGAAACTGGTAATTGCCTCTTCTGCCTCCGACCGTTTGTCAAACCGGATAAACGCAACCCCTCTGGACAAACCTTTTTAACAAACCAACAAAAATGGAGTTAGGGGGAAAAAAATGCAAGGAGTTTTAAAACTGAAAAGCAAAAGTCAAGTCAGTCAGCCTACTGTAGTTTAAACTGGATGCTTGGCTAATGAGAGAAACAAAATTTAAACCTATATATGGAAACATGAACAAATTAAAACAAACAATGACTAATAAAAGATTAAGGTTTCAAACTTTCTTCTGAGTTGAAGCAACAATGCATAGTCTCTGTGCAATAAGACACTTTGGCACAACATCCCAGAGAGATGCCCCAGACCTCTTTTTTAAAAGGAAGCCATGTTTTATCCTCCATCACTGTGGAGGCCAGGTGCCCGCCACGGTGCCAGTGCATGGCATGCTGAGGGCTGGGCGAACAATAAGGAACTCTCCCTTGCACCAGGGTGCTCCCTCCCATGGCCTGCCCGGCCATCCGGCCTCATGTCCATACCAGACCTTCACAGGTCACCTTTCCAGCTGGCTTGATCCAATCCCTGTTTGCTCAGTGCCTGACTCAGCCTCCTGAGTCCCAGAAGGGCATGGAGTCTGAGTAACCCAGCTGCACCCTGGGGGTTCTTTCCTGCCATAAACACCTCATGCACCTCTTGGACAGTCTAAGTTTTCTGGGAAGAGTCTGGCCTCTCTTGATTCTGAGGGCCCTCAATGGTGCTGACACCCATTCACAGACTCCCTGCCTTGGGTACGATCACCATTGCCTTCAGCTACCTTGCCTCCCTGGACAGAGCCTCTGGAAGGCAAGCCCCTGATTCTGCTGCTGCCTCAGTCCTTGAAAGAACAAGAACGTGGCTGCCTGAGTCCCAGGCCCAACTGCTGAAGGCAGAGCCGGGTCAGCCTGGCATGAGGGTGAGACCTGAACAAACCAGGTGGGAGCGGGCTCAGTCACCTTCTACCCTCCTTCTGCCCACATTCTGGGCCTGGGAGGAATGACAGGGGCCGGTCCCTTAAAGAAGTGGAGGAATGAGGTGGGGCTGGGGTGAAGGAATGTGAAGCCATGGAGACAACCAGCTCTCTCTCCTGGGGTCAAGGGTGGTGGTCACAGTGTGGAGGTGACAGCTGAGGGCGCCTGAGGAGCACCCTGGAGAGGAGTTGTGGCAGACAGCCCTACCCTGGAAGTTCTCGCTCTCCACTGCCAGTCACAGGCTGTCCTGAGGCCTCAACCAGGTGGTGAACGACAGTTATCAGAGCACAAGAGCCCAGGGCCCTGGGCCACCGGCTAAGTGAGGCTCCCATGTCCCACAGGGTCCCATCGATAGTCCCCAGGATGAGCCCAGGGTGGGGGCCGAGGAGAGGTATGGGGGACTCAGGCAAACCAGGCAGGGGCGCCAATGACAAGTTCTACTGCCAGAAGTGCCCCTTTGGGGCCTGTTAATAGAATCCCATGCTCTGTCCTGACTGGGAAGGGACACCGTGGGCCCCATGTAAACAAGCAGACAGTAGTCAGGGGCCTTCGGGCAGGGGTTCTTCTGCCACAACCGTAACATACCGTGAATGCCAAGTCCTAAAGCACACACCCCAACTTTCCAACTGGGAAATGCTCCCTCCTGGGGGTGCCCCCAGCACAGCACCCTGGGAGGCCACACAGCAGCCCCTGGCAGTCTCAAGGCTTCCCCCACCATGGCTCCTTGACTATGTAAGTATGAACTTTAAATGGACACAGCCAGAGATGCTCACTGAGTCAGTGAGATCAGATCCAGAGATTCACATGTGCCAGGCGCAGTCTAGAGCCTGAGCCCAGTTTAAAATTTCAGTTCAGAAGGAACACCTGAAAACATATACTTGGCATACACTCTTTATTTACTCTTAAACGACACGAACGACGACTTAGACAGATGGGAACCCGAACGAGATCTAACCACAGGCAAATCTCACTGGAAGCTGCGGCTGGCTGGCTCCCACAGAAAGCTGCCTGCAGGGGACAATCTCACTCTATTCATGAAGACCTTGCAATCAAGCAGAGACAGCGTGTGTGTCCAAGTGTGGCTTCCCTGTCTGGTTTTCTAAAATGACTATCAAATGAAAACTGCCCAAGTGAAAGCAAGAAAACCCAAGTAAAAGAAAGAAAGTTACTTAAAGTGAGGGAATATAAAACTCAATGCTTGGGTGAAAGTATACATTTTAAAGATGAGTTTTTTTTCTCTCTAGCGTTTTTAGGATTAAGAGCAGAGACCAATAAATGGCACCATCTCTAGATGAGCCAACTATAAAGGTCATAATTACAATGTATAAAGAAGCAAAGAAATTTTTTAAAAAAATTTCTGTCAGCTCAGGAAATTATGATTTTTCTTTTTTAATTGTTTTTTAATTAACCAGACCATCTGTTTTTTTCTTTTTAATTACTCAGGCCATTTTTTTTTAAAATTACAGGTTAAGGTTTCTTGAGTGCTTCTCTGTTTCTTTAAAACACATGCCACATGAAAGCAAACCTGTCATGCAGACTTGCTCTCTGTGCCCTTCTTGGCCTGGTTGCTGGGCTCCACAGGGTCCCAGCAGAGGAGAGCTGAGCAGCAGGACCCTCCAGAGCGGGGTAGGGGGGAGCCCACAGTCCCATGGGCTCGCCTTTCTACTCTCCAGTGTCACACCCTGGCCTAAGGGAGGGCTATGAAGAGGAGCCCCTGGGGGCCCCTCACGGCTCCTGCACCCTCTTCTTACAAAGCTCCTAAAGACAGTCAGGGGTGTGGGGTGGGGGCCCACACTGAAGTGGCAGAAGCTGGTGGGGAGGCCTGAGAGTCTCCCGAACTCTAGGAGACAGCAGCCTTGCAAAGGGAAAGAGGGCAAAATCTCCAGCAAATGGGTGAGTGAACTGCCTACAGAAGTGACCGCCCTCAGGATTTGGGGACAAAAGGCCAGGCTCTGTGGTCCGGCGGGGGGGGGGTGCTCTCAAGGTGCGTGGACTCAAGAATGGGGGCTGGGCCCTTCTCAGCAGCGCTGGGCTGGACCGAGATGAGCAGAAGCCAGCAGTCCACATAGGACTGGGGAAAGCAGGGCCATGGAGGCAGGATGCAGGCCACCATCACTGCCCGCTCCAGGTCCCCTGACAGCCCACTCAGACGCTCCTGCGCAGGACGGTAAATAGAGGCGTGGGGTCACTTGATCGACTGGTACTTGAAGGTAAGAGAGGTGCCTTCAGGGACCACAGGAACTAGTCTGGCGCAGACCAAGGGTTTATACCAAGCACATGGCATCGTCACCTCATGCCCATTCCGGCCCAGAGCCAGGGGCAGAAAGGAGGCCAGGTGGGTGAAGTCCATGTCCCTATAGCAGAGCGGGTGTCAGTGCCAGCCTGGGGGGGTACCCAGAGCTGCCAGCGATCTGCACCTGGGGACTGCACTCCAGGAGCCCATGCTCCTCCTCAGGGCCCTGGAGGAGTCAAGCTGTCTGCTCCTCTCCAAGCTGGGCCCCAGCCCGTGCCCAGCTGAGACAGGACGAGGGAGAGTGGGGGAGAAGGCTGAGGGCTACAGAGCACACAGCTCAGGGAGGATACGGGAAAACATGCATCCCACTCGTCTGCCACAAGCCGGGACACCCTCCCTGCCTGCTCTGTGTCTGTTTTCAGCCTCCCAGGGGAGGTCACCTCGGAGCCACAGCTGCTGCAGCCCAACTACCAGTGTGTGCTTGACTACCTCAGCCACGGAGGCGGGGAATACGCTCAGTGCTGGAAGAAAAGGAAAACCGACCACAGACAAGTCTACCAGTTTCACTGAGCTCTGGGAGCAGCGATTTTACTTTCTAGTTGGTTAGCAAATTCCCACTCCTGCAGAGAACAGAGCTGAAGGGCCCTAACATCGGATGTCCCAAGCTCACTGCTTCCCTGACAGAGCCGTGTGTGGCCGGCCGGACCCAGGCCCAAGGCTGCTGGGGCAGGTGGCCACCTTGAGGGGCGGCTTCTAGGCCTGTGGTGCTCAGTTCGGTGGGGCCTGAGTGCTATGTGCAGAGCCCAGAGCCTGAGCTGCTTGTGTCCTGAGCTCAGCTGACCCAAGAGGGGGTAGTGAAGTGGCCAGGACAGACTTCGAGCTCTGAATGTGCTACTGGGGTGGGGGTTATTGAGTCGTGGAGACTCAAGAATGACTCCTCAGAGCTCTGGGACAATGACAGGTGGGGACTCTGGACCTGGAGTAGAGACTGTCCCACCGTGTACCCTGCTGCCTGCAGTAAGAGCAACGTTCAAGTCCAGGCTCGGACAGGGAGTGCCGGTGGACAGTGCCAGGATCTCTTGGTGTTTTCAGTGTAAAAGCCTGGCCGCACCTCACCTTTCATGTCGGGGTGGCTTTTATGTCATGTAACACCCCCCACTCCCCCAACTTCCTGGCCTCATTAAGCAAAAGCCAACGTCTTCTCACTGTGATTCTGTCCTCATGGCTGGAGTAACTAAGGACAGTCATCTGCCTTCCCAAGGAGAATCAAGCCCTGCCTGGTGGAAAGTGCACTGTATCCCAGGCCAGGCACCGTACCTGTGGTCTGATCCACAAGGACTCGCGAGTTGATGATCCGCCCAAACCGAGAGAACATGTCCTCTACGTCCTTCTGGGTCATGTTCCTCGGGAGCCCGCTGATGTATAAGTTGGCGTCTTTGATGACTTCGGAGCTTGGGCGTGCATATGACACCTTGAAAACAAAACCGCTTGCTAGCGTTAGGGCAGGTGCATGGCCAAGGCATCCAGGGAGGGTGTTACACATTCAGATGAGGGAAAGTCAACCCTGTGGGAGGAGGTCACATGTGGCAGTCCGTGCTGGCAGCCCTCCTCAGGCCGGGCAGGGACCCTCATGTGCCACGATGATGCAGATGCCATTCCTATTTCATAGTCGAGAGTCTGGGGGGTCCATGGCTGGTGTGGGGCACAGGGCAGGGACCAATCCCGGCTGCCCATCCTCCTACCTTGGCCTCAGGCCTCTCTGGACAAAGAGCAGGGCTGGAAAAGGACATCGTCCTACCTGGGAGCAGCCCAGAGTATGGTGGGGGAGAGAGCTGAGTGCTCTGGAAGTGTGACACCCATCAGGCAACAGGCCAGCTCAACATGGAGTCCAGATGGGGCCCCGTGTGTGAGGACACACATGTGAGAGCTCAATATTAAACGACCCCATGCTTTCTGGGGCTTCTGTTTTGCAAAACTGAAGAAAGACTAACAGGAACTTTGAAGTAGTTTAGATAAAATGGTGTCTATGTGCGAGGCTGGGGGCAAGGAAATGTCTTTAGTGTTTCCAGTTTGGGATGAGAGCAGGATAGATCCTGTGGGCCACAGAGGGACGGGGCCAAGGCCAGACCTCTGCGGGGAAGGAGCCCCCAGGACAAAGCCCTTCCACCCTCGGCAGAGGGAACAGGACTCTGTCACACCCCACAGCTGAGGGAGTCAGAACCAAGTGAGGAGGCTGGGGGACAAAGGAGGAAGAAGCAGAGAACCATGTGCTCTGGAAGGGGGAGCAGTTAGACCTGAGCAGAACGTCTTCCCTGGGGGTCAAAAAACTGAGACCATACATAACACAGTAGCAGACACGACCTCTCAGGTGTCACTGGGCAGCACAAGGGCACAAACGATAGATGTGTTCCCACCACAAGACTCAGGCCTGCAAGGAAGGGCAGGGGTGCAGGTCTACATGCTGAGACCACACCTCCACACACATCCCTTTGTTCACACGCTGACTCTCACACATTTGAGGCACATCTGGAATATTCCAGAAAAGGAGACGACAGACACTGCCTCTGCCTGGAAAGCAGGACACAGCCCAGAGGGAGAGAGAGCGGGTGAAAGGAGAAACTAGGGTGTAGTCAGAGTCCAGCGCCACCTGAGGGGAGAGTGGAACAGCAGTGCCAGCATTCCCTGGATGTGTCCCTGCACTGCAGCCAGGCCTGAGGCACTTTGGCGACACTCTAGGGCAAGACCTGGGGCAGAAGCAGCACTGCCCTCAGAGAAAGAGACCACCAGGTGGGCGTGGCCATGCTTCTCAACTTCCAAGAAGGATGTTGGCCCCACTCTTATGTTCGCACCTTAACTTTCTGGGTCTACATCAATCAGCCCCACAGAACACCCCGCTCAAACTCCTGACAGAGAGAGTCACTCCAACTGCTTCGTCTGGTTTTACCAAAGACCCCAGTGAGAGGTGTCAGATTTCAGGCAGGATGGCTGAAGGTAGGAGCTGGGACTTAGGGTGTCCTGTGTTTTCCCGCGGTTGGGCCAGGCCAGCAGGGAGTTATCCCCCAGGATGTCGTGCCTGGCCCTTCGCAGATCTGTCTGGAACAGGTTGCATTTGGGGCCTGCCCTCAGCTTTTGGTGAAGGACACTGTGGGAAAGAACACTCCCAGACCAGTGCCAGGGGAGTGCTGTGGCGGCAGGCGCTGACTGTGGTTATGATCACCTCCTAATAAAGCCCGGGGAGGAAATGCTTTCAGAGCCAAGTGCACTTCAGTTCCTTCCAGCCTTGGTGTCTCCAGGGACCCTGATGACTACTGCAGCTTCCTGTCCTCTCCAGCCACTGTCAAGCTCAGAGTCAAGTCAGAATCCAAGAAGACAGCAGCAGAGCCTGCCTACCCGTGGCAGGCACGCCCAACCGGATCCGCAACACTCTGCCCAGAACCCTCTCTTCTAAGCTCCCGCACCACCTGTTCCCTTGCCTCTGGCAGGTCCACTGTCCTGTTCTTGGGAAACCCTCCTGTGAGAGGTTTTTGAAGAACCCAAGACTTCTGAATTATGTCCTCCCACAAATTCCCCTGTCGGGAGTCCTGATCCCAGGACCTCAGAGTGTGACCTCATTAGAAACAGGATCATGATAGATGCAATTCATGATGATGAGTTCAGAGCGGAGTAAGATGGCCCCAGATAAATGATGGGGGGTCCTTATAAAAAGGAGACATCTGGACACAGATATGCACACAGGGGGAACCCCATGTAAGATGAAGGCAGAGACTGGGGTGATGCTTCTATAAGCCGAGAACCGCCCAAGATCCAGTGACTGCCAGGCACTGGAAGGGGCATGGGGCAGACCCGCTCACACAGCTCACAGTCCTCAGAGGGCACTCAGACTTCTGGCCCCTCAAGCTACCCGAGGACCTGGAAGATGCAGAGGTTCGACAGGGCAACCCTGTTACGGGGCTTCAGGTAGAGAGAGATGCTCTGGAGACTCTGGTGGGTGCCTGTCTCAGCATGAGCGCCTCGCCAGGTCTGTGGGTGAGGGCCGGTGGGCACAGCACAGGAGGAGCTACTGCAGGAAGCCTGGCCAGGGTCCCTTGTGGAGTGGGGAGAGGGGGCATGTTCTACGGCAGGGCTGGACACGGAGCAAAGGTCAGGAAACCCAAAGCTGGTCCAGAGGTGGACAGAGCCTGATGACAAACACCTGGGGGTGGGGAGGGGTGAGACTGAGAAAAGGAGGGCATGGTCAGTGATGGCAGTTGAGAGGAGCACGAAGGTGGGGCGGTCTGTCCTGTGAGGCCTGGAGGACTTGCCAACTCATCCCAGGAACCCACCTCAGCCCGATTAGGGAATGACGCTACTGACAGTCTGCCCAGGCCACCCCATCGTGCTGCACGGCTCTCTCCCTTCCCTCAAGTTACCTCAAGTCATCCAGAAGCCCCCCAGAGGACGCAGTGCCCCCAGGACACACCTCGTGACACCTACCCTGGCCACACCTGGTATCATATTTATCATCCGTGTGCACCTCACAGAGAGCCAGCCTGCTCTACAAGGGCATGGGAATGGTTTTGTTCACTGAGTGGCCCACAGTGGGCAACTCCTACACGTTTGCCCAGTGACTGCTGAGTGCACTGGTAAGAAGAGGACCATAACTGCTGGAACGGGGCTGGAAGGGGAGCCTGGGCAGGGGGCCGAAGGACAGTGCTGTCGCCGCCGCAACAATAATCAGGTGCAAGTGGGAACGTGGTGCTGGCCCAATGCCTGCTCAGCAGGACAGCAGTGCTGGGCCAGCAGGGGAGACCGGCGGGGAGGTCTTCGCACCAGGAGGCTGCTGTGAGCCAACACACCAGGGACACCGGGGCCGGGGAGGGGCAGTCCCCGTGCCAGTCCTTTCCAGGGATCCTCCCTTTGCAGGTGGGGCTGAGAAGTCAGAGGCACAAGGGCTGGGACAGTCACCACCCGATACGAGTCTCACACCAGCCAACAGGAGATGCCCCAGAAGTGCCCGGGCTCTGAGGGGCAACTGTGCTAATGGTGCCAAGACAGTGATGGGGAGATAAAAGGTTGAGTCTTTCACTAAGGCCAGGGCTCAGCACAGACGTCTATGTAGCCAGGAACCACTGAGATAGTGATCGCAGCTCTTTACCTTAATGGTTTTTGACTGGAGCCGCAGGCCATTCAGTGTGTTTATCGCTCTCTCTGCATCCTTGGCAGTCACGTAGTTCACAAAGCCGTAGCCCAAGCTGTGTCCTGTGTGGAGAACACGTGCACATCAGTGAGCCGCTGGGAGCCAGCCAGCCAGCGAGGGGTAGGGGACAAAGGAGGGGAGAGAGACATGGGGAGGATGGACAGGGCTGCATCTGGCTGGGCTCAAAAGGACAAGACCAGAGAGAAGATGACTGAGAAAACACAAGAGCAAAGAGCCAAGGCTTCTGGGAAGGAGGGGTTAGAGGTCAATGGTTATAGTCTATACTGATGGTTTATTCGTGACACCACCTTGGCAAACTTGCACATTTTCTGCAAAGAACAAACCAATAAAATGTGACTTTTGTAACTGAGCATCCGGGGGAGCCCATCACCAAAACAGGGCCGAGGACCTGTTCCCCTGGTGCTGGCTGCTCTGTGCAGCTCCCAGTGGGGGGGACCTGGGATGCGGGGTGGGGAGGAGGACAGTCACGGCAGCAGACAGGACAGGCGGGTGGGGAGAACCTGCCGATGAGCAGATGTCAGTGTCCAGGCTGCTTTCCGCCCCTGCTGTGCTGGAGTGGGAAGGTCTGCTGGGCTCTGGCGCCCCCCAGTGTCGGTTCCCTTCAGTTTCCTGAACTGAAAGTCCAGCTGGGGAGGCAGGAATCCAGGGACAACCAGCGCTGAGGGCAGCCTGGCCACCAGAGGCCCCCTTGGCAGGACCTCCTACGGTGACAGCATCATCAGCCAATGCCCAGGGGCACCATAAGGCCAGCGCAAGCCTCAGCTCTTCCCAAAGAAATCCAGCATTACAGGCAGGGTGTCGCACTCCCTCTCAGGTAACCACTGAGAATGGTGGGGTGACCACCAACTGGATGCGCAGGAGGGGCCCAGCATGGCAGGGGAGGGGCTGTGGGCCTCTAGGAGACCCAGAGAGAAGCAATGGGTGACGGTCAGAGTGGAAGGAACCGCACGCTGTCCCTACGGAGGAGCAGGAGGAGGCCTGGAGAAGAGAACGGCCACTAAGCCCGCATCTTACCCCTCCCCGCGCCACGTCCGCAGGCACACCCCGTGCACCGGCCTCTGCTCTCAGCAGAGACAGTGGGTGAGCGTGAGAGACGACTGCTCTCCCCAACTCCTGTACACACACATGCCTACTGGATGATTAAAACACAAGGCGTGAGCCACCAGCAGGCAGAGATCCACACAGCAGATGAGCTGGCTCTGCCCACTTCACCAGCTGAACCCAGGCTCATCTTGCCATTAATGAGACCTGGGGAGAGCCTAACCCACTGCTGTCACCTTGAAACAAACAAACAAAAATACTTTTTTAGATTTAAAGAAAAATTACAAAGATCATGCAGCGTTCCCACAAACCCCACACCCACTTTTCCTATCAGTAACATCTCATCTTCGGATGGTATACTTGTTACATTAGTGAATTGGTACTGGTGTCCACATCTGAGCCAGACCGCCCGAATTTTCCTCTAATGTCCTTTTCTGTCCCAGGACACTACCCAGGGTCCCCCATGACACTGCGCTGCCAGTTCTCCTTAGGCTCTTCTTGGCGGGGACAGTTTCTCACACCTTCCTTGTTTTAGATGACCGTGACAGCTATGAGGACTGGTCCAGAAATTTTGCAGACTCTCCATCAGCCTGGGTTTGTCAGAAGTTCTCCTGTGGTCAGAATGGGGTTATGATGGGCTTTTAGGAGAAGGCCACAGAGTGAAGAGCCCTTCTCATGCCATCGTTCTGGGGTGCATGCTGTCCATAGGGCTCATCCTGGTTGATGCTGGCCTTGACCCCGGTCTCACCAGTCTCTCCATGTGCAGCCTGACACTGTGAGTGCTCTGTGGAGTCACGCCCTCCCCACTTCAGGGCAGAGAAGCTACCCAAACTACTGGCGATTCTGCAAGGGCCACTTTCTCCTGCTCTGTCCGGGCCATCTTCTTCGCTTTTCTCTGTCGTCTCATGTTCCTGCCCCTCCCACAAGGCCAATCCCAAGGCTGGGCCACTTCTGGTGCCAGGCCGTGTTCCTGTGCCTTCTGCTGCAGCTGGTTCCTTCTGGTGTCTGGACAGGGACCCCCCACCCTCAGGTGATCCCTCCCTGCCCTTCCACCTTGGCTGGCCATACCAACACCAACTGGCCCTCAGGCTGTGCCCACAGAGAGTTTTAGGACACAGCTCCAGAAGCCCTCAGTGGCATTGGGCAATGCCAATCCGCCCGAGGTGCCACCTCCTCCAGAACGTGACTGCAATGCCAACTGACCCTCCCCAGGCTCCTCATCCTCTGTCCACTCCATCAAGATGGCCCATAAGGCTCTACCTTTGGCCCTTGTCTCTGTCATCCACACTTCCTGGGTGACCTCCTTGACCACCATGTGGCCACAGCCAATAATGTCACCTAGGAAGTTACACACTTTGACAATGGCCACTGGCTCCTTCTCCACCCTGCCCTCCTCCACTCTTCCTCAACAAGCCCATGTGTACTAACTGAACACCCATTGTGTGTCAGGTTGCGTGCCAGGCTGGCCAGGGGGTTAACGATCATCACCAAGGACAGCTCCTGCCATAATGAAATTCACATCCCACTGAGCGAGTCAGGCAACAAAGGAGCAAGAAGCTGACAGACAAAGCTACACTCAGGTGCTAACAGGGGACCCTCCATGGTGGAGGGAGAGGATGGACAGGGCGGGCCCAGGGGAGACAGGTGGTCAAGAGTGTCCCCTGAGGAGGGGATGTGAGAAGCAAGCCCTCGGGGTGGCTGGAGGCGGGCACTCTGGCAGAAGAGCAAGCACCAAGCTTCTGTGGCACAGATGACTCTGGAGTGCTCCAGGAAACAAAAGGCGGCCGGCGGCTGAACGCAACGAGCTAAGGGCCTGGCCTGGAGGCGGCCGCTGGGTGGACCACAGCAGCAGCAGGGCTGAGGCCAGTGCAGAGGCCACAGGAACCCACGAGCCAGACCAGGTGTGAGATGAGGACCCTAGCAGAGCAGGCGGGAGGGAGAGCCACCAGGCGGACTTGCCGATGGGCTGATGGGGAGGAAGCACTGCTGGCCAAGGTCCCTAAAGCACCAGCACTCCCGGGCTGGGACTGGCTCTGTCCCCTAGTCTGCTCTCCTCTCTGGTGGGTACTTGTGTGCACCAAGAGGCAGGTGGATGAGGAATGAAGGGGAGCCATGGTTCTGCCCACTGGGTAAGGCCAGAGACTAAAGTGTCAACAGTGGTGAACACCCACCTCCATCCACCCTTTCCTTCACCATAACCCAACTGCTCTCAACTCCGGCCGCTTGTTAGAATCAGCAGGACAGCTGCTACAAACCATCATCGCTCAGGCCACATCCCGGACCCAGGACATGACAGGGGGGTGGGGAGGCAGGAGCGGGCACCGCTTTGGCGGTTTGTAGAGCCCCTCAAGGACTCTGCTGCCGAGCCCAGGGTGAGAACTGCTGCTGGCAGCGCATGAAGGGAGCGGGCCAGTTATGCAGAAGAGCCAGACTTAAGATAAGAGGCTGTGCTCAGAGCAGGCGACTGGGGGAAGGCCCTCACTTTCCAAGTTACCGTTTCTCTAACAGGGTCCGCCAGCCACCTGGGGAAATGACGCAGCTCCCTAGGGTGCTCCTCAGTCCAGAATCCAGGATGTGGGGCAGGGTGGGGATTCCCACTTCCAAGCTCCTTACAGATGACTTTCCAGTGACCTAGAGGCCAGGAGGTCACTGGAGTCAGTGCCTTGAAGGCAGGTCAGTGGCACCCCTTGAGGGGCAACGGAAGACCAACCCTGAACAAGCGGGCTGAGGTCTGGTGGGCGAGCAGGGGTACTCTGGGGCGAGTGTGGTCAGGGCATGGATCCTGCACAGGCTGCTGGGCTTAAGGAGGCTGAAGCCTGCCAGAGTCAGGGTGGGGGCCACCAGAGCCCAGGGTGGAGTCTAGTGGAAAAGGGAAAGGCACGAGAGGAGGGAAAGAAGGATGGGACAGAGGATGAATAAACCCTGGGCCTAGTGCAGGGGTGCGTGAGGCCAGCACCCCTCATCTGGGGCTCTGACTCTGCCCAGTACCAGCACTGCCCCCTCCAGAAAGGCTCAAACACCCCAACTGGCTGACTTGGTGGATCTGGGTGGGGCCTCAGACATGTTTCTCCTGGTCCCCAGGTACTGTTAATGCTCAGGGCCTGGCCGAGAGCCACTGCCCTGGAGAAAGCAACGCCACCTCCATGCAGAGCGCTCACATGCCAGGCTGCGCGACCCCTGGGCCAGGACCTTCATGTTTCCAAATGTCTTCCTCTCTTTTTTTAGACAAGGGTTAAGACTATGAGACAATTCCATGGCATATCACCTTGCTTCCGCAGATCAGAGCAGCCAGACGTCATGTTTTAACCCCTCAGTGTTCCTCATGCTGACCTGGGGTGCCCAGGTGAGGAAGGCGAGTACCCCATGGACAGGGCACTCCTTTGCAACGTGAGGCTGGGGTGCAGTCGAGTCCTTTCTCTAAAGGCCCACAGGGGCTCAAGGGACGACATCACTGAGGGAGAGACTGTGTCCTGGGGAGGGGAATGAGTGAACTAATTAGGCAATAAGTAAGAAACAGCAAATGTCCCCAAAGGAAAGAAGATGAGCAAAGGAAAAAAAGAGTTCTTACATAAAAGAAGAGTATAAACAGCCAGAACAGATATACTTCACAAGAAATGCAGACTGTCACCACACTCAGATGTCATTTTTCACTTAAGAGGAGAGGTGAGAAACCCTGCTCGGCCTCAAGGATGCCAGGGCCAAGCAGAGGGCATGTGAACCGGAAAGCCCCTGGAGGGCCAGCTAGCAATACGGGTCAACAGCTTCTAGGTAGTACCCGTTCTCCCCTCTGTGGGTTCACTTCTAGGAAGATTGCCTACAGAAATAACTGGTGAGCCAAGATTTGTGCCAGGGTATTAACCTCAGTGGGGCTTGTAGCTATGGAAAAGCAGTTACAACCTGTCATAAACTCAGAATAGCCTGTAACCACTGTGACCATGAAACAGCTTAAGTCCAGTGTCAGTAAGAGATGTTCACAGATAGAGGAGGAAGAGATAGGTTGGGAGGTGCAAGCCCATTTTTGTAAAAGCACATGACTGCTTACAACCATAAATATATAAAGAAAAAACTATGGACAGACATGAGCCAAAAAGCTAACACTGGTGGAATTATAGGTAATTTAAACTTTTCTTCCTGTTTGTCTCGTGTTAAACTTTTTTTCTATAAGGAGAGAGGTGATTTGTATTAAGAAAAAAAGTGGTCAGCTGGATGGGTGTGGAAGGGTATCTTTGCGGAGGGAGCAGTACTGGTGAAGTCACAGGAGCGTGACAGGAGGGTGTGTCTGGGAGATGACAAGCAGTACATCCAGCACAAGACAAGGGTGAGTGTGGGGTACAGTGGCTAGGGGTGATGGGTCTCAAGAAGACTTGGGAACGCAGGCTGGGATGGAGGCTTTATCCTGATCAGAAGTGCAAGCCAATGAGACAGAAGTTGAGTGAGGAGGCTAAAGGCTATGGACCAGTGACCAGTATGACACGGTCCAGGAGGGTGCAGACTGGTAATGGTGCCCTGTGGGCCACGTGACATCTGCAGACGGGCTTAGACACCAGGACAGAGAGCAAAGCAGGCTGCACAGTAAGGCCAGGTAGTGACTGTGGATGGAACAGGCAGCAACAAAACCAGTGGGGCCCGGCTGGTCAGAAACACTCTGTATCTCGAGGCCAGCACACTGAACATCCATCCCCACATCCAGCCACCATCTTGTCCCACTGCCTCCCACAACCAGTGCCTGGCCCCCGGTTGGCACTCATAAGAGGCTTGCTGAATGAATGACTGTCCATGCCGATTTGCATTCTCCCCCAGCCCCAGGCCCACTCAGTCATTCATTCACTTCACAGAAACTGATTATGTCACATCTGGGGATACCAGAGGGTCTCTACCTCTGGGAACCATAAGGACTTACTGGATGAGCAAGTTCCAAGTTCAGGGCCTTGTGGAAACCCATGCTGGCTGATTGCCACGGAGACCCAGAGGAGCCTCTATCGTCGACTGTATCAGGCCAGGAAAGACATCCCAGAGCAAATGGGCCCAGGTGAGTGACAGGACACATTAGGGGTGCTAGAGGTTCCACTGTCACAGTTAGGAAGATGGTCTGGAGGGAGCACGGAAGGCCAGTTGAGAGCCTAAAGCAGTAGGGCAGGCAGAAGACGATGTGGCCTGCTCTAAGGTGGTGGCAGGAGGGATGGCGGAAAAGGGACAGAAACATTCAGGGACACAGGTCAAAGGTCATGCTTGGATTTCTGACTGGAGCCCCTGAGTGGACAGTGTTGCCATCTGCTAAGATGGAAACCTGGGAAACAAGCAGTTGGCTTGTGGGAGACTCAAGGTCAGTCTGGGAAACACTGAGAGGCTGAAGGCCCTGGAGCTTGGGAGAAATTCTGGTTGCAAGAGAGGTGACACAGCTGAATGTCAGGCTAAGCTTAGAGGTGTATCCACTCACCCTAGTGTTGGCCTAGGAAGAAAAGAAGGCTAAGGAATAAGTCAAGGACTGCATAGGTTAACAGCTGGGAAGAGGTGCAAGAGAGACAGAAAGGGGGGAGCCTCAGAGGTAGCAGAAAGCCAGGCTCACGAATCTGAGGGAAGAGGAAGTTTCCTTTCATAAGGAAGAGGCAGAAGAGACGGCTCCGTGAACAGCAGAGGGTGGACGTCAGCCAGAGGAGCTTCTCACCTGGGGGCTATTCTGCACTTCTGGGGACCTCTTCTGGTTTTCACAACTTAGAAGGTGCCCCCAGCATCTACAAGGCAGAGGCTAGGGAAGCAACCTACAGGATGGCCCTCCCTCAAGAGTTACCCAGTTTCAAATGTCAAGTGGAAAAGTCCTGAACTAGAGGGGGTCCGGGCATCAAGCAAGGACTCTTAAAGACAGCAGACTGGAGTGTGTTTGAATGCTGGTGGCAGATCCTGGAAAGACCCAGAAAAGTAGGTACTTGCATAACTTGAGGTTCTTTGCATGCTAAGACGGGAAGGGATCTAGGACAGAGGTGAAATGGCTATTATGCGAGAGGAATCGGGGCCTGAGAGGAGAATATGTGCTGAAATGGCTAATGTGGGGCATGAGGATGTCCCTGTTGCAAGCTCGGCTGAGGTCTGATTGGACAAGGTGCCTGTCCGCCACGATGCAAGAGTCTTGCTGGGGTGGGTACCTGAGCCAGGCTGGGAGAAAGCAGGCTGAGAAAGGTAACCAAGGGCTTCACCAGAGGAATGCACTAAAGGACAACATGGAGTGAGAGGTGAGGCCCTGGGCCAGAGCCAGCCTTGAAGAAGTGATCACACACTGGTGGCAAGAGGAGAAAAGTGAACGAGGTAAGTCTTCTATAAAAGTTCATTCAATTTAAAGAACTACTAGCAAGGATTGTGGTTTCCCAGGTGGCTCAGCGGTAAAGAATCTGTCTGCCAATGCAGGAGACTTAGGTTCAGTCCCTGGGTTGGTAAGATCCCCTGAAGAAGGAAATGGCAACCCACTCTAGTATTTTGCCTGGAGAATCCCATGGACAGAGGAGCCTGGCGGGCTACAGTCCATGGGGTTGCAAAGAGTCCACACAACTGAGAGACTAAACCACAACAGTAGCAGGGACTTTCCTGGTCCAGGGGCTAAGACTCTGCGCTCCTAATGCAGTAGGCCCAGGTTCGATCCCTGGTCAGGGAACTAGATCCCACATACTGCAACTAAAACCTGGAGCAACCAAATAATAAATAAATAAATAAATAAATAAATAAATAAGTATGTATGTATGTATGTATTTTTTAAATGAAGAACTATAAGATGCGAGATGCAGAGCTGAAATATCAACCCAGGCTCATCTACTCCACCACTCCCGATGCATTACACTCAAGGTTGCCCAGAGAGCAGAAAATCTTTATTTCTGAACCAAAATAATTTCCAAATCATGCCTGTGGTGATTTCACTGGTTCTTTCTCACCAGAGAAAACCAGTTCTCTCCAGACTCATCTCGCCAAATCCAGGTGTTCCTATTTACATAGCTCTAATGCCTTTGAAAAATGCAACAAGCCAAAAGATAGAGGAGTCAGGAATATTGCCGGGACTGAAAATTTCCTTCTGCCAGAACACAACAGAAGAAAGGCAAGACTCAGTAGCTGCGCAGAAGAATTTCAAAACCTCTCTGAACAAGAATTCTTATTCAGGATGGTCTTCTGGAACTGGAGAGAGGAATTTCTAGAACATTCCAACACTGTTCAATTTTGTATATTATCTAAAGCCCCTATTTTGAAGATATGTAATAAATTGCAGACTCTCAGAATTGGGAGGGTCGTTAAAGGACTTTGAGTTCAAAGTCCCCTCTCTGGGACTTCCCTGCTGACCCACTGGCTGAGACTCCAAGCTCCCAGTGCAGGGGCCTGGATTCAATCCCTGGTCAGGGAACTGAGATCTCACATGCTACAACTAAGACCCAGTACAGCCAAATAAACAATCAAATAAAAACAAAACAAAACCTTGTTTTAAAAACGAAAAACCAAAATCCTTCTCTGATGAACTAACTCCCTGTACTATGGTCAGCCAGCCTCTACGAGACTCACCTTGGGGAGAGGCATCTTAAGAGTTACTGGCAAATAACGAGAGTTGATGAAACAGGACAATGGGTACATGGGGTCCAACAGTATTACTCTAATGTAAACTGAAATCTTGGGTTGGCCAAAAAGTTCGGGTTTTTCCAAATGATACTACAAAGAAACTCGAACGAACTCTTTGGCCAACCCAATATATTTCCATAATAAACATGACTCTTGACTTTGAAATTATTTTTCAGTGTAGGGAATCAAGATTTTACAAGCCAGGGTGGGAGCTAGAGCACTGCTGAGAGGACTGGCCATGCGTCAGAAGAGCTGGGCAGAGACGAGGAGGAGGAGGGAGGAGGGGCGGGAGGTAAAGGAGGGCTCCCTAAAACGCACCTCCCTGGGGATGAAAGAAAGGAAGTGCGTCACAGCCCCAGGTCTCTTCACATTTCTCTCTAGAACTCTTGCAACCTCGCTCTCGGAACAGAGGCCTCCTTACGGAGGGCCTTACCAGGGACTGGCCTCCTGCAAACCCTTAGGAGGTAGGCAGCATCATGAGGAAGGCAGGCGCCACCACCCCCAGTTCGAGGATGCAGACACTGAGGCGCTGTGGGAGGGTGGAGCTTTGCGCCTGCCTGCCAAACCCATGGCCCACCCGTGAGGCTCTGCTCCCCTGCTCCAGCCCCCATGAGAGTTCAAGCTGACACCACGAGAACAGACAGTCAGGGTGGCCCAAGTCTAACGAAGGGCTGTCCATACGGGACTGACTCAGCGCTCTGCGGAAGGTCTGACCTTTCATGCACCGCCTGAGAAGAGGGGCTGGGCCTGCCCCAGGCAGGACACTGGCTAGGGTCCCTCTACAGCTGGGACCAATGCCCGTTCCAGCTCTCACAGCATCCTTGTTTTTCCTTCCTGTCTCCTCATCTTCCCTCCCTCCCACTGTCTTATTTTGTACATATTCTCCATCTTAGGATGGATTTTTCCTTCTTTGGGAACCTACAGCCAATCTTACACCAGGGTGGGAGCAAAACAGAATTGAGATAAAAATGAAACTTCCTGGCTAAGAAGCAGGGCTTGGTGGGATGGCCCCACATACCGTCCCCCCACCCAACACACACAAAAATGGCTCTGTTTCTTTACCTGCCACCTTATCCCGAATAAGTTTTGCAGATTCCACTTCACCAATACTGCTGAACAGACTTCGTAGCTCATCCTGGGTCATGTTCTGAGGGAGGTAGTTGACGATCAGATTTGTTCTCCCGATGTCGTCCCTGCAGTCTTCGGCCATGTGGTCTTCATAACCATTAGACATTGTATTTTTTTAAAAAAAATCTGCAGGGGGAGAAAAAATGAAGTAAATTCCAAACGTACCCACTGTAGGGTATCAAGGCAACGCTCATGACTGTGTTTGCACTTAAGACATTTTTCTTTTCAATGTTACAAGTTCATCTTATGTCCACGCAAAAACTCGCATGTGGATGTTTATAGCAGCTTTATTCGTAACCGCCCCCAGACTGCAGGCAGCCAAGATGCCCTTCAGTGAGCTAATAGAGAAACACACGCCAGTCATCTGGTAACACACACACAATGGAAGGTTATTCAGTGCCAAGAAGACAGAAGCCAGGAAGCCACAAAGACACGGAGGAGCCTCACATGCACACTGCTGAATGGAGGTGCTTGAAAAGCTACATACCAGAGGGTCTCCAGTATGTGACACTGCGGAAAAGGCAAAACTAGAGAGACTGCAAGATCAGGAGTTTCAGGGAAAGGGGAGCGAACAGGTGGGGCCCAGGGGTTTTTAGGGTAGCGACGCTATCCTGTATGAGGGTATAATGGGTGGATACATGTCACCATACATTTGACCAAACCCACAGAACGTTTCAAGTGAAGACTGATGTCTAGGACTTCTCCGGTGGCACTGTGGATAAGAATTTGCCTGCCAATGCAGGGGACATGGGTTTGATCCGTGGTCTAGGAAGATCCCACACACTGTGGAGCAGCCAAGCCTGTGTACCACAACTACTGAGCCCACGCTCTAGAGCCCATGAGCTGCAACTACTGAAGCCTGTGGGCCTAGAGCCTGTTCTCTGCAACAAGAGAAGCCACTGCAATGAGAAGCTCATGCACTGCAATTAAGAGTAGCCCCTGTTCACTGCAACTAGAGAAAGTCCACATGCAGCGATGAAGACCCAGCACAACCAAAAATAAATAAGATTTTTTAAGAGTGAACTCTAAGGCAAACCCTGGGCTTTAGTTAGGTAACAACATGGGTTCATCTATTACAACAAAATACCACACTAAGGCAAGATTTAGTAATAGGGGAGGGAAACTGTGCCTGCAGAAGAGTATAGGGGAATTCACTCTGGACTCTCATCACAATGAACCTAAAACTGCTCTAAAAATAAAGTCTACTGAAACAAAACCAGAACTAGTCCAAGTTTAATCATTTCCACTTAATAAGAGGGCTTTAAAGAAGCAAACCCTCAAACAATTCCAGTACCACGATTGGAGCCTCTGGGAAAAGTGTTTGGGGTGTCTTGAGAACACTCCAAAGATCTTGGATTGCTTTGTCCGGTCTCCATGTGCACTACTGATGTAGCTGTACAGGCAGGAGCCTGTGACGAGCGCTGGGGCAGCCCACCCAGACACCCTGTCTGTCCTCCGGCCAGCAGGCAGAGGGCCTCTGCCCTGCCTTCCTCCCAAGACAGAGTGACTGAGCTAGGAAAGAGGTTACGATTTCTCTACCAGTTAGGGGACCTTTGTCTCCAAAGCTGGCAGGCTCTGACACCTTAAGCTGCCTACAGAAATCCTGACTTTCAGCAACACCAGCAGGGCACAGTGATGACTTTGGAGGAAAGTCAGCTCAAGACTGCTTTTCTGGAAGCACCACTCACTTGACGTTTTGCTCACAGGCACTGCTGTAAAGTCCCGTGTCCTTGGCTCTAAAGAAGCAGGCATCTCTATGGAGCTGAAAGTCATCACTGAGAAAAAGGCCCTGCTGCCCACTAGTCGGGAGGTCTCCAGGGCAGCCCAACCCTTTCTCCAGATTCTTACTGCCCAGTTCTGACTTTATGCTTCAAAACCCAGTGCCCAGTGTCTAGAGCATTTTGCCTCCTCTAAAAACAGTCTTGCCAGCGGTTATATAAAAACCAGCGCACATCTTCTGCACAGGATTTCCCGCCTGCCCCATACCAACACGGAGAGAGGAATCAGGCCTGGTTCTGAGTTTCCTGGGGGAGACATTCAGGTCTTCTCTACCTTCCAGCTCTCACTTGCTTCAGACCATACACAACATGCAAAATCAGTCCAGTCTCCTAGTATTTATTTTTTGAAAATGGTCTATGCTTCCTGCTCTTTAAAAAGCAGTTTGGCATCAACAGTCATAAAAGAAAAGATTGGAAAGGGAGACTTCACAAGGTTAGAAACTCCTGGACGGCAAAGACATCACAGGCAAGCAGCAGGCTGACAGGGAGAAAGTGCCAGCTCCTTATTATCTCACTTAGAGCTGGGTTCTCACCTTGGGTGATTTTGCCCCCTCCTCCATGGGACACTGGGCAGTATCTGGGGGCACTGCTGGCTTTCAGGATGGGAGAGCCTTGTGCCACTGGCACCTAGTGGTTAGAGGCCAGGGATGCTGCTAAACACTCCATAAGGCATAGGACAAGACAGCTCTCACAACCAGGAATTATCTAACCTAAGTGTCAGTATTGCTGACACTGAGAAAAAATTGATTCGAGGCATCTACAAATTAATATGAAAAAAAGCCAACATATCACTAACAGAGAAACGAACCAAGAATATGAGCTGAAACTAATAGATGCTGGCAGTTAAACAGCCAATAAGGCATGAAAAGAGGCTCAAGTTCAAAAACAATGAGGAAAATGCAAAATAAAAGGAGATGCTACTTTGTGTCAGTCAGAGGGACTACAATCCAGGATGGCTAAAACCCAGTGTAAGGATAAGTTAAGGAAAAAACATACCCCTCCCCCACCTTTTCTTAAACGCCCTTACACACCACCGATATGTGTGTGCAAAGTGCAGCCTTTTGGAAAGACAACATGGCAAGCCTATCAAAATGTTGAATGTGAATGCTACCCTCTGACTTAGAACTGCAGAAAACTGCTCTACAGAAATAATCACATAAGTGCAGGGAAATATGTTCAAGGAACATGCTGACGCCAAGGCTGGTAAAACACTGGATATAATCTAAATATGTATTAGAGACTTCCCTGGAGGTCCAGTGGTTAAAACTCCACAGGGGACCCAGGTTTGATCCCTGATTAGGGAACTAAGATCCCACATGCCTCGAAGCCAAACAAAACAAAACAAAACATTAATATGTATTAATGGGAGATGGTTAAATAAATACCATTTTCAGTAAAAAGCATGGCATTAACAGATTTGATCAGGAAAAACTCCATAAACCTGTTAAACTGTCTATGGCCATGAGATTTTAAGATCACTAGCTCAGAAACAAACAAAAACACTGGCTGAAGCCTGAACCAAAGTAGAAGGATTAACTAAAGAATTAAAATGCATGCTGAAGTTTGCTCAAAACGTGATTCAAATCTTTTTCTTCCTCCTTCCCCCTTTTTTCCTTTATCCCCCGCTCTCTCTTCACTTTTGTTTTACTCTTCTGCCTTTTCTCTCACACCGATTTCACAGATAATAAACCGGGCAGTAATTACCAGAGTGGGCTGTCCTCAATGCCTGGCAAAAAGTTTGCTTTCTAAGTCAGTGGTTGGCAAACCATGGCCCATGGGCCAAATTTGTTCAGACCACAGCCTGTTTTTATAAATAAAGTTTTATTGGCACACAGCTACTCTCATTTGTTTATGTTCTGTCTATGGCTGTTTTTGCACTCCAGTGACAGAGTTGAGTAGCTGTGACAGAGACCATATGGTCCAAAAAGCTGAAAATATTTACCATCTGGCTCTTTACAGAAAAAGTGTGCCGACCTCTGTTCTAAAATGTAAAAACAGAAAAATTTCTTGGAGAAAATCTTTGTGACACTGGGTGAAGCAAAGATTTCTTAGATACCACACAGGAATCCAAATCCATTTAAAAGAAAATTGATAAACTGGATATCATCAAAATTGAAAACTTTTACTCTTGCAAAAGACACTGCTAGGAAAATTATAATCCAGAAGATTATATTTGCAAATCATGTGTCTGAGAAAGGTCTTATATCCAGAATTTTTTTTTTTTTAAGAAAAACCTTAAAAAAAAAAAGAAGAAAAACCTTTGAAACTTAACAGTAAGAAAACAAACAACTCAACTTTTAAAATGGTAAACAATGGGAACAGATACCAAGCCAAAGAAGATATATGGATGGCAAACAAACACATGAAAAGATGCTCAACATTATCAGGTATCAGGAAAACACAAATTAAAACCACAATCAAGGGAATTCCCTGGCAGTCCAGTGGTTCAGACTGCACACTTTCATTTCCAAGGGCCTAGGTTCAATCCTGGTCAAAGAACTAAGATCCTGCACGACCAAAAGACAAACCACATCAAAACATTGTTAGCCATCTAGGCATATAGGAGGTCTAAAACAAGCAAACAACAACAGACCATATTGAGCTCTGGTGAGGTGGTGGAAAAACTAGAACTCTCATGTATTGCTGGTGGCAATAGAAAAATGTTAAAGCCGCTGAGGACAACAGCTTGGCAGCTTCTTATAATTAAACATAAACTTACCATATGACCCAGCAACCCTATTCCTAGTACTCACACATGGAAAATAAAAACTTTTGTTTATATAAAAACCTATGCAATAATATTAATAGCAGCTTTATTCATTTTTTTAAACATTCAGTTTTTATTTTTTATGTGTTTATTTTTTCATAATCTTTTCCATTTTGGTTTATTATGGGATATAGAATATAGTTCACTATGCTAAACAGTAGGACCTTGTTTATCCATCCTATATAATAGTTTGCATCTGCTATCCCTCCGCTCCCCCTTGGCAACCACAAGTATGTTCTCTGTGTCCAAGTCAGTTTCTGTTTTGTACACAAGTTAACTTGTGCCATACTTTAGATCCCACATATAAGTGACATTTCATATGGTATTTGTCTTTTTCTTTCTGACTTACTTCACTTAATGTGATAATCTCTAGGTCCATCCATGTTGCCACAAATGGCATCATTTCATTCTTTTTTCATGGCTGAGTAGTATGCCATTGTGTATACGTACCACATCCTCTATATCCATTCCTCTGTTTAAGGGCATTTAAGCTGTTTCCATGTCTTGCTATTGTGAATAGTGTTGTTATGAACATAGGGATGCATGTATCTTTCTGAGTTAGAGTTTTGTTTGGATATATG